ATTGCATAGACGTTTCTGTTTACAGAATGTCTACATGTGCGGATCATGTCTTTCGTGCAGGCAGACGCTCGGGTTTAATATGACAATGCACACATCTCGACTTACGTTCTAACTTCAGTGCCCTCGCCAGAGAATGAAAGTAATCTGCAAACAAGCAATGTCGACATAACACATAAACTGATAAATATTTATACTTCTCACGATTATAGATTTTACAAGTATATCCGAGAAAAAGATGTAAAAAAGATTATAAGGATACTGTAGTGAGGATAAAGATTCCACCCATCATGAAAATCAGATATACAAAATGGGATATTTACTTAGATTCAAATTGACATAATAAATCGATTACTGACCACTATTTGTCAGATTTGACAATGAATATACCAAACAGTTTTCCGCCACTGCACAGGCAAGAATTACAATTAAAAGGGAAATAATTGCTTTGATTGCCTCTATCATTATGTCTTCCTTCTACTATCGTACAAACATCAATATAATTATCAAGTTTCAATGTACAGGAAAAGCTGGGTTCATGACTTTTATATTTGGCATTTGTGTGGAAATGCTATCATCAGTCACAGCCGAAAATAAAACTCGTTTAGGTGATTTCATTTTTGATAAGATAAATATTGCATAGCCAACTGATAACATCCACATAGATAGATAGATAGATAGATAGATAAAGGTGGGGAAAGAAAGGATAGATATACAGATAGATTGATAAAGGTGGGATAGATAGATAGATAGATAGATAGATAGATAGATAGATAGATAGATAGATATGAAAAAATGTCTTTATATGTATGAACAAAATGAAATGGATGAAAGCTTACATTCTCCGGTACATTTTTAATTTGCTATCACGGTTAGAAAAACTGGAAAGTAATAATCGCAAATCAATATTCTGCTTTTAGCACCTGAGGTAAATTCACATTTCTTTTTCTTCCATGAAAGAGTCTTGTAAATATATACAATGCTCACGTTTTCTGGCACAATAACGCAATAGTGGGACACCTGAGAGAATCCAACCGATTACCATTAAATTATCGGTTACGATATTTGTTCTCTATCGCTCTAAGACCGACGTTCAAGTAACACTGTAGAACGATGTATTGCTACTTTCTGTGTGAGACAGATAAACCAGCCAAGAAACAACCCAAGTGCAAAATCTGGCAGGAAGCTATTATTTAATATATTATATATATTTAATCGGTATGGACTTATTCACCTCTCGCTCAGATTACACAGGAAAGACAGATGAACAAACACAGACAGATAAATCATTTACTCACAGTAAAGTTAGAAGGGATTGTTGGAAAACAAAATGCAAAGCAAATAAAAGATTCCAGGGAATAGTTTCGTTAAACTATTCAAGGAATTTGATACATAACAATAGGTTTTCCTCAAAATTAATATTTTTGACTTTTTTTCATTTCATTTGATCTGTGAAAAAAAAATAACCGCAATGCATTTAGCCCCAAATCTGAAATATAAAAATATAAATTTTAAAATTCTATAAATTGTATGCGATCAGTCAGCATGGAAATAATTGTGATTATACATCGACACACAGAAAACAAGATAAGATAATAATGAAGTTCAGTGTGTATGTGTGTGTAAAGATAGCTAGCTAAAGCTATGAATATATAGTTATAGATATATGATGATAGATTTATAAATAGTAATAATCTAGTCGCTTGACACTGTTATTAACTGAAAATTATCATAGATTTCTCACTATATAATTTCGATCGATGTAAAGAAAAGGTTTGGTTAAGTGCTTTGGTAAAGAAGAACATTTATTTTTATTATTGGTCTACTGACTTACTGATGTAGTCACGGGTGTGCAATTTTATATACATATCTATCTATCTATCTATCTATCTATCTATCTATCTATCTATCTATCTATCTCATTCTGTTCTGATCTATCTACCTATCTGTGTGTGTGCGTGTGTAAAATCTAAGATGTAACTAAAAATACATCTGTCAAAGGAAACTGTGAATATATATATATATATATATATATATATATATATGTGTGTGTGTGTGTGTGTGTGTATGTATGTATCATTAGAAGAAAGTCCACGTGTGTTTATGCAAAATAGATAGGTTGTTTAATAAAACAGGGGCAAACGAAAGGGTACCAATGTAATCAAAACATTTATTAATTATTAATTATTAGTCACATGACAGAAAGGAAGATTTTCTTCACCAGCGACGCGAGAAATAAACAGAGAAATGGGGATTAATCACCAACAGTTGTTCTTGTGGACGGTGTTAATATATATATATATATATATATATATATATATATATACAGTGTGTGTGTGTGTGTTTGTGTGTATGTGTGTGGAGAGAGTTGTAGTATGGTTTTATTGATCATATTTTCAAACATTTCCCACACATTATTTCTTTATTTCTCTCTATTTCTCTCTCTCTTTCTCTCACACACACAGACACACACAAAACCTACATACAAAAACTCATATATATATGAATTTAAGATTGAGTTTGTTTAAAAAATAGGTATATTTTTCATGACGATTCCATATATCCGTAGAGAGAGTAAAGTACCATATTCATCTTAGTAATAACAAATAATATCGGATAAAAATCCTTTCAAATAAAGTAGAGTCTACACTTCATCGTAAATACTAAACGGGAAGACGGAATAGGGCTTTTAAAGCTTGTGAAGAAAGCATGTTTACATTTGAATGTCATTAAATCCAGCCTTCGAAATCTTGACACATGAACGCCTTTGTATATAGATTTTTTTTTATCCACCCAGTTATTTTAAAAGTTAACGAAAATTTAATCTAACATTTCACTGCATTTTAGGTACTTTGTCTTTATAGTGAAACTTACGAAGACGCTTAGAGAGGAAATGTTAGAAAATCATCAATAAATTTTAACCTTACAATAGACGCACAGATTTCTCATACTACTTTATAGTCAACCACTGACGAAAAAAAAAAAACCCAAAAAAACCCCCCAAAAAAAACCCAAAAAACAAAAAACAAAAAAACCCAAAAAACAAACAAAAAAAAAACGAGATTTCGAAGGTTCTAAAAACGATTAAAACATAATTTATAGTCCAAAAATATTTGTTTTTTTTTCCTTTTAATAATAACATAGATCTTGACGTTTGGGACTTTTTTTCCTCATGTAAGCTCATTTTTTAACAAATCTTTGGGTATACCTAAATAGTTATTTGCTTTTATTTTTGCAACAGATAGACATATTTTTGGCAATACGTCTACATCTGGGGAAAATAAATAAATCTACAATGAAGTGTTTGCTTATAAACGTTTATTTTATTTGTTTATTTTGTATCGTTTTCTCGGGCGCCATTTTTGTTTGCTGATTTTCTAAGAGAAATCTTCTGACATTGCCTGTCGCTCTTCTAACTCAACTTCCTAACCTCGGTTCCCTCCCATTCGTTGCTTCTCCGTCCCCAGCTAATATTCCATCCGCCTACCATGCCTCGCCTTGGCCGCTCACTTGACACAAAACATGTCCGCGTTCAGATATAATTTGTCCAGAGATGAGGTGACGTGGCCAGCGAGACTGCTAAGGCAAGGCTCGGTTGGCACTAGTGGCCGAGAGGGAGCACGTGTTGGCCAACCAAACGCTTATCTTCCTCATCATTCCACATCTGCGATGGGACAAAGCAGCACGAATACGTTCGAATTGTGTTCTTTAATTGAAAATAATGATTATTAATAGATTAGATGTATTGGACGCAAATCGCATTAGCTGTTATTTGAATTGCCTTTTAGACGATTCACGAGTTATTACCGATACGCTATATATCTATCTTAATATCTGGTATCTAAATATATATGTGGGTATGTGTGTGCGCGTGTGAGTGTATGAAACATTTTGGAATCAGTAAGAATTAGGAGAATTAAAGTGACAATAAAATGAAAAAACAAATGTTTACATACATGCCCAGGAGTGAAAATAGTTGAGAATGTAAATATGGACGAATAATCACTGCAACATAAGAACGTTTATAGATAGATAGATAGATAGATAGATAGATAGATTCTGATTTTCTAAGCGTAGCTTCGATGTGGCACAAGGCGGAAAGCATGAGGACACCCAATGAAGATCTTAACTCACTACTCAGCCGTAATTATTCTAACGAGACAAGTTTACTAGCGATTACAGCACGTCAAGGTGCCTCTTATGATTTCCTAAGCCTTTCTTAGATGTGGCACAAGGCAAAAAGTGTGAGGCACCCAGTGGGGATGGAACTCACTACTCAGTCGTAATTGATCTAGCGAGACAAGCTTGCTGACCATTACATGACGTCTAAGTGCCCAGATAGATAGATAGATAGATAGATAGATAGATAGATAGATAGATAGCTAAACAGACTGAGATATATAGCTAAACAGACTGAGATAGATAGATAGATAGATAGATAGATAGATAGATAGATAGATAGATAAGAAATCTTCTGTTTTATCGGCGTGAAAAGGGGAACCGGCAAAATGAATGAATTTTGGTTGTGGCAGTGTATGTTCCCTTAGCACTAATACACTTAGGAACAGGCATGAATCTACTACTCTCTGCGCACTATCATATCGCTAGAATGTTCTTTAACGCCATGATATTTTTATGGAAAAAAGAGGGCATCAGTGAGTTCTCGCGCGACACACTTTTTGAAATCTACTTTACCTTCCAGGCACTGGAAAGAACTTCTTACATCTACTGTCAACCTTGTCATGTACTGCAGATACAGAGTCCCCTGTGTTAACAAATCCATCACTCTTTTATTCATTTTTTAAAAGTTAGTTTATTAAAAAGTATATATGTACACATTCAATTTATAAAAACAGAAAATATATCTTTAATTAAATCACCTTCGGCTTCGATGACGACCTCTCAAAGAACTGCATGCCCGGATATGTTATCCCTCATTCATGATATCATCTTCACGATGGTGGCCATCAACAATTATTGTGACCGCTGAAAGTCTCCATCTCTGACCGTACACCAGGTGATTGAAATCAGATGGGCTAAGTGACCGCATGTTGTGGGATGAAGATAGTGAAAAATATCAGTCAAACATTCCTGACTCATTTGGGCCATATGGGAAAGAATCAAGACCAACTGGATGCAACACAAACACCCCTGAGCAACTCCATGGAACTAGGGCTTGACCGGCATAGCCAGCATCTAGATTTCGGCAGTGCTGTTGAGCCTAAGGAGGCCTTCATTTCTCGCAACTAAGAAAGACATCAAACAAAAAGTGAATATGGTGTTCATTGCCGTTAGATCGACGGAGAGCCACCTGTGGTTTGTCTTGTTCATGTGCTGGTCATGCTCGAAATTCTTCTCTTCGATGTACTTGAGACTCCACCACATATCTGAGAGAGGATTTCGTGATAGTGAGTTGCTTGGGGATAGCCCTCATTGATTTGCTGAGGTCGTTTTTAATGACGTATTCGACATGTTCACTCGTCAAAATGTATTTTTTTCTCTTAGTGATGAGACAACCAAGATATACAGCCTCTACCTGACTTTGATTACGTAGGATCGAATCTCTTACATGACGTTGGCTATTTCCGAATTAATGCGGTTGGCGGCTGAGGACCACAAGTACAGCGTGCCTTTTCACTTCCTCCGTTAAAGTACAAGCTACCATGTTAATGCTCTCGATAAATCTGTAAGAGAAATGCAAATATTAGAAATTACCGTATGCCACGTGACATTACGTAAGGTCGTCATCAATTTAGGCCAGCTGAGTTTGTATTCCAACATACTACCTGGCGCACCTCTCTCTCTCTTTCTCTTCTCTCTCTCTCTCTCTCTATATATATATATATATATATA